GGCTCTTGATACCATGTGAAGGAATTAAGTGTGAGTTTATTGATGTAAATTACAACCTATATATAGTACATGGAGGAGTGTAAATAGTAAGAAGTTGTAACCAAATATAACTAGTCTATAGGAGCACAAATAGAACAAGTAACAACTAAAGCATTCTAGCCACATATTGGCTTAACACAGAATTGGCTGCCATTACTGTGGGAAAAAAAAAAGAGAAATTAAAGGGAAACCTAGACGACTGATACCAGAGTAGAACTTCTGTTTCATTAACCGTAGAATAGTTACAATAGGTAATGATAAATACACATGTACAATATATAATCATAATATAACACAAATACAGTAGTAGAGTCCTAATAAGGAGGAATAGAAAATCTTAGTGAGAGATATTGGAGAAACAAGACAGAATGAAGAAATAAATCTACTATACTAATAAGAGCCCAAGAGAGTTAAGCCTATAATGGGTAGAAAAAATGGCGGTCAAATTTTTTAATCAAATGAATAGCTCAGATTGATCAGATTTTATTTTTTCCTTAAGATTTCCTAATTTATCGTTAATGAATATGATTATCCGTTAAATATTGTTTTTTTCGTTAATTTCTGCTAGTTCACCGTTAACTTACTCGTTGATTTCAATAAGAAAGGTCTTAGGTTCGAACCCCATACCAATCAAAGTTGGCATAATTAGTACTGTATTTTACACTTATTAAATTAAATAATGATTTAGTAGCTACAACAAAAAATAATACATATGCATTTCTTTAATTTAGAATTATGTGTCTACAATGTCTTTATTCAAAAAAAAATTATTCATTATCAATAAATTAAATAAGAGAAATAACCAGGACTACGTGGTCTAATGGTATCCGGGTTGGACTTCCAATTGGAAGATTATGAGTTCAAGCCTCAGTGGAGGCGTTATTGGTTCTTTGTGTTTCAGTAGGTTGAGAAAGTATATGAACAGATACTAAAATGTAATAGAGCCAGTAACTTTCAAAAAAAAATAAGAGAAATAATTTCATTAGTTATATTGTATTTATTTTTCTCCAATATAAAAATTCTTTACATTCAAATTCATCAATTGATTATATTCGCTACATTGTCCCTACAATGTCTTTATTAAAAAAAATTATTCATTATCAATAAATTAATTAAGAGAAATAATTTTATTAGTTATATTGTCTTTATATTTCTCTAATGTAAAAATTCTTTACATTCAAATTCATCAATTGATTATATTCACTATATTGTCTATTATCTTTTTTGTGCACTATTTTTTAATTAAATATCAAAGTTATAAAAAAAAATAATGCTATATATTTATTTACCAAGTATTTTATTAATACCATGAAAAAATTTTAAAAAATATAATTAATAAAGCCAATCATATTAACTACTTGAGGGATTTGTTGACAAAAAGAGTATTCAAATCACACAACAAATTGAAGTGAGAACTACCTCGCAATGTCCTTGTTTAACAATAAGCACTTAGCAAATCATTATGCGTTGGACCCGTGTCCAGCATGCTTGCTGGACACGGGTAACAGTGCCGTTAGGCACTGTTATCTCCTTTTTTTTTTTTTTTTTTTTTTTTTTTTTTTTTTTTTTAAATTTCAGGCCGCTTTGTTATAGGAGTATATATTCATAATTTTATTACTATATTATTAATAACTGTACATTCATAACTCCATAACTATACGTTCATAACTCTATCACTGTACATTCATAACTCCATAACTGTACATTCATAACTCCATAACTGTACATTCATAACTCTATAATTGTACATTCATAATTTTCGAAGCTCTATGTTCACAATTTTAGAGCTCTATGTTCATAATTTTATCACTATATGTTCATAATTGTAAGTTCATAATGTTAGAGCTCTTTGTTCATAATTCGATCAATAACTGTACATTCATAATTCAATAACTGTAGATTCATAATCTCATAACTGTAGATTCATAACTCCATAACTGTAGATTCATAACTACATAACTGTACATTCATAATCTTCGAAGCTCTATATTCACAATTTTAAAGCTCCATGGTCATAATTTTATCACTATATATGTTCATAATTGTAAGTTCATAATGTTAGAGCTCTGTGTTCATAATTTCATAATTGCATAACTGTACATTCATAACGGCATAACTGTACATTCATAACGGCATAACTGTACATTCATAATCCAAAAATAATAATAACGCCGTTAACGGCAAAACGCGCGCGTTTTTTTTATATAACTAAATGACGCGTTTTATTTTTTAAAAACGACGTCGCTTTGGGCCCGTGTCCACAATTCACTGTGGACACGGGTCCAGGGCATAATTTGCCCTCTAATAGTCTGATCTTTTGAATCAGCCCAAAGAAAAAAAGGGAGAAGTGTCAAATAGGCCCATCTACTACTGCCAAGTGCTCAATTCCCACCACGAACTAAACTAAAGGCTAATTAACCACACTTACCAGCTAAATTTTTTCAATTAGCTTCTGTTTTTTTTTTTTTTTTTTTTTTTGCAGGTTACCAATCCAATTATTAAAAAAATAATTTTAAAAATAATTAAAAAAATTAAAAAATTAAAAAATAAAAAATAAAAAATAAATAAACGGAATTTCAGCCGCAACCCGCTGTCCTCACCGGACAGGGACCGACAGAGTATTTCTGATCAAATACTTTGTAGTTAGATCTGATAATGATGTAAGAACAATTTTGTCCGATAAAAAATAATAGTACAATATTTGTAAAATAATATAAAATTGTACCATTATAGAAATACATACAAAAAATATTAATACCATAATGATCTAAATCATTCCAATAATGCAAAAACATAATTGAAATATTGAGTATTGTTCAAAATATTCAAAAGAACATTAATTAAACGCAAAAAGTAAAAAAAACTTAACCTAAATTTGTTGTTGTTGTTGTTGTTGTTTTTGTTTTTGTTTTTTTTTTTTAAATGCAGGAAAATGATTTTCAAGATTCACGATTTATAACATTTGATGCTCAACTTTGAATACCATGTATTTAGTCGGGTCAATTATTTGAGCAAAGTTTATGTTAAATTTTATATTGTATTTTTAATACATTTCAACATATTCGTAGTATATGTTTAACAATTATGCCAAGTATGATTGAGATGAAGTTCGAACCTAAGACCTTTCTTATAGAAATGAATGAGTATGTTAATAATAATAAATAGTTAACTGTATATTTCATTACTTAAGTTTATACTAATAGAATGCAAGGTTATTAAAGTGAAGAAAAATAATATAATAGAGGGTAAATAAGGAAAATCTTTAAAATAAATACTAAAATCAAATAATAAGAACCATTCATTTCATCAAACAATGACATCAACATTTTTTTGTTCCCGTTAATGACCTAACTTTATTGACTCTTATTAAATTTGTAGATTTGTCGATGTCAAGGGAATGATATCATAAAGAATTTTTAAATTAAAATATGTAAAATTATAAATAAGCTTACAAGTTTTCATCTCATCACCTATCTCCATGCACATTCTTCCACTAACAAAATTTACCCATGCCTATAACTAAAAAAGCGATGCATATGACTAAAGACAATTTGACCTAATAGCAACAATTTAAAAACTAATAATTTTAATCAATTACAATTCAATATCTCCCTTTGTGATATATTCTACTCTACTATTAGTAAGTAGATAATAACATTAAAGGGATATTCTTTATTTTCATGCTTTCCCTTGAATTGCCCTACCTCATAAGAAATTAATCAAAGAAATAAATATGTGTTTTTTAGCTTCCAAATTTATATTCTAATGTTTAAATCCGAACATTGCTTTAAAATATTTATATTTATTATTTTTAAAAAATTTACCTAGCTACCACATGTGACAAAATGGAATACATTTAATAACCAACTATAAAAAATAAAAATAAGTAATTATACGTCAAGATGATGATATTAAGAAGTAAATTTAAAACGAGAACATCGCATGCATCACTCTTAATATAGAATTCCCTTAATCCTTAAATAGTAAAATCCAATAAAATAACCATATTAAGTCACATAATGTATATTAGGAAAAAAATTTCGTGACATGGTGTAACATTACTGTAAAAAATATAATCTAATCATTTGTCAAAAATTTATACAATTTTTTACAATTCAATACTTCTCCATATTTTACAAATCAATATCTCCATTTGTGATATGTTCTACTCTTTTAGTAAGTTGATAAATTTTTTTTGGTGTAAACCACAATGTGGTCCGGGTCTTTCTCTGTCTGTTTAACGGTCCAGGTCCACCCTATTCGCTCCGAGAGGCACAAAAGCTGGCCCAAAGAAAATCATCACTTGTGAGAATCAAACCCCGATTATCCCTAAATTTTCCCCCACAAAGAGAGCTCATTTACCACTTTAGCTACCCTATTGGGTTTAGTAAGTTGATAATAACATTAAACGAATATTCTTTATTTTCATTGTTTCCATTGAATTGCCTAACCCTCATAAGAAATTAATCAAAGAAATAAATATGTTTTCTTAGCTTCCAAAAATATATTCTAATGTTTAAATATACTACACATTGCATTAAAATATTTATATTTATTATTTGTCAAGAATTGACCTAGCTACCACATGTGATAAAAAAAAAATGAAACTAAAATAAGTAATTGCACGTCAAGATGATAATATTAAGAAGTAAATTAAAAATGAGAATATTTTGCATCACTCTAAATATAGAATATAATTCTATTAATCATTATATAGTAAAAATCCAATAAAATAACCATAATAAGTCAAATAAAGTATATTAGGAAAAAATATTCGTGACAGGTGTAACATTACTATAAAAAAAATAATTTATTCAATTTACCTCATATATGTGACCCTATAAATATCATAATCATCTCAGCATGCTTAATAGCCCACACAAGATCGATAAAGAATAAAAAACCACAAATCAATCTTGAGCACTTAGCTTCTTCCTCTTTTCTCATTTCCAATCAATATCATGGCAAGAAGGAGATTAAGATTGGCATATATTGTGAATCAATCAAAAAGAAAAGCCTCCTACCAGAAAAGAAAGAGAGGGTTGGTAAAAAAGCTTAATGAGCTAACCGTTCTTTGTAGTGCGGATGCTGCCATGATAATGTATAGCTCGTTTGAGCAGAGGCCAGTGATATGGCCTACTGTTGAAAGGGTTCAAGAGCTGATTGCTAGGTTCATGCAGTTGCCGGACGTGCAACAAACGCGACGAATGATGAGCCAGGATAGCTTTGTTGCGCAATGGCTTGAAAAGTTGGGCACTCAGCTTCTAAAATTGAAGCAAGATAACAGGGAGAAAGAGATGAATGCAGTGATGCATAAGATTTTTCGCGGAGAACAGATAGTTGATTATCTGAGTTCCGTAGATTTAAACGACCTTGGTTGGGTTTTAAACACGAATATCGCTGAAAGTGATTTGAGGTTGGTAAGAGTTTCCCCAACTCTGGCTCCTCCTTCAGTTGTTGCTCTAGCAGATGTGTTTTCTGGGCAAAGCTATCAAGACATGGTGGGTATGCAAATTCCCAATCTTAATCCTGCGTGGAATTGGACTTTCAGTAATCAAAATGACCCAACTCAGGGGGGACCAGGGCCCAGCACCTCCCAACAAAATCCTTAAGTCGTTTCTGCAAACTTCTCTTGTGAACTGCAATTCAAGTGTTTGTTTGTTATTTAAATTGATGCATTATATTGGGAATAGCTTAGCGTAATGCATCTATATGTTTTATGTTGTTTTGTTTTTTCCAATTCAATGAATAATAAAAGATGTTGTCCGGACTATTTCTTTTATAAAAACCTGGGTATAAATTTGAGTTGCAGAAAATCCTTCTCATAATACATAAATATAAAAGATCAAAGTTCATATCCCTTTGCATTCACAAATTTGGGTTGCACAAAATCGTTCTTAAAATACATAATAAATATATCAAATCAAATTTCACATCCTTTTGCATTGATACAAATTATAATAGAAAGATAATAAATAACATATCTATTGTTCCAAGTATTAAATTAGACACAATTAATTAGAATGTCAAATTTCATGTTCCTAATGAGGATTCCCGTTCTCCATTACAACAGGATTGGGGTGGGAGGAAAATTCGAGGAATGGGGCCGGGGGTAATGGAAATACTACCCACCTCACCTCCGATTCTTATATCAACAACAACAATGTTATTATTATTATTATCATTATTATTATTATTATTATTATTATTATTATTATTATTGTTATTATTATTATTGTTGTTGTTGTTATTGTTGTTGTTGTTGTTATTATTATTATTATTATTATTATTATTATTATTATTATTATTATATTATTATTATTATTTTTGTTGTTGTTGTTATTGTTATTATTATTATTATTATTATTATTATTATTATAAGGTAGCAAGAGTGCTTGTATTGTATTTACATATTGGATGTGTTGACATTTTATAATCACATATTCACATTCTTATTTGAATTTAGAGTTAATTCCAGCAATGGTCCTCCGACTATTGTAATTTTCCAAAATCGGTCCTCGACTTTTAATTTGGAAGAAAAAGACAGTTGACTTTATAATTTGTTCCTGCAAAGGTCCTTCTGTTATCTATCCATCTCTTGGCTGTTAATTTAGAGGACAAAATAGTTTTTTCATTAGCTATGCTTCTTCTTCCTCATTTTTTACGCAGAGAAACAATGCTTCTTCTTCCTTAGGGAAGATAAAAAAAAAATTCAGCATGGACTGCGGTATTACTCTTTGAGTTTAGAAGGATAAAACTTACCTCTACAATTATATTCAATGGATTTCTTTGGATGAGATGATATTCCATCACTTTCACCCAATTATATATCCTCTCCGCACAGCCATAGCCATAGCCATAGCTTTATTCTCACTTGTCAAACTCCACGGTACAGTACACTCTACCAAGAAAAAATGGCAGCAAAAATGACGTTGGTAAAGCCCATATTGAAGTTTGGCGCCAGCGCCACTTTGCGGCTGGGTGGCATCCGGAAACTGGCACCCTTCAGCGTGAGAATGTCAAGCGCCACCACGTCGCAGCAGGTGGCGGCCACCGGCAGCAAGGGATCGAAGAAGGGGATCAAGGAGACGATGCTGACGCCGAGGTTCTATACGACAGACTTTGACAAGATGGAGAGGCTGTTCAACACGGAGATCAACAAGAACCTGAACAATTCCGAGTTTGAGGCGCTGCTCTAAGAGTTCAAGACGGACTACAACCAGACCCACTTCGTGAGGAACAAAGAGTTCAAGGAAGCCGCCGACAAGATTCAGGGTCCTCTCCGCGGTATCTTTGTCGAGTTCTTGGAGAGGTCTTGCACTGCTGAGTTCTCCGGCTTCCTTCTCTACAAAGAGCTCGGTAGGAGGGTTCATTTGAGGGAGGATTCAGAGTTGGCAGTTATGAGGGGAGTTTTATCTTGCATCACATTGTCCATCTAATATGAAGCACTAGTTTAATGAGTTTATGTCTAATTTCTTTCACAGGTAGATGAAGTGAAGGGTGAGGATGTGGTTTGTGTAATAAAGAACTCAGCAACTTTGACTGGTTCATTGTTCACTCTTGCATGCTTCGCAAATTCATATTGATCTCCCTAATAAAGATAAAGAGGAAATAATAATTTTTGACAACTGCAGAGAATGTTTATCTTTTATATCTCTGATGTTATGTTAGAAGACATAAGTAATTTTCGGGAAATTTACTTGGTGATCTTTGTACAAAGAATTGAAAATTGAGTATTTCTTTTCTGAAGCCAACCAGAGAATCACACTTATATGTTTAACTATTTTTAAGGCCATAAGCTCATGGGGAGTTCAAAACAAAATTGATTTCCTTTCACTATCATCTACAAGACCTGCTGAAGACCTTCGTGAGGTATACTTAATGTCTTCATGGCTTCCTTATTTCTAATTCGTGAGGCATTGCTTCTCTGCGTCTAAAATGAGGAAGAAGAAGATAACTAATGAAAAAGACTATTTTTCCCCTTAAACTAACGGTTAAGAGATGGATGGATAACAGAAGGACCTTTGCTGGAACAAATTACAAAGTCAAGTGTCTTTTTCGTCCAAATTAAAAGTCGAGGACCAATTTTGAAAAATCGCAATAGTCGGAGGACCATTGCTGGAATTAACTCTTTGAATTTAAATATCATTGAGAATTAATGAATACTTAAGTATTTTTAAATTAAAATTTTGTGACAACCTCAGTCTTCCACAAAGGATAATACCAGGAATAGCGCGAATAATCATCAACAAAAAGCACAAGATAAGGATAACTAGAATGAGATAGCAACGTAGTGGGGCACCAAATATAAGTGTATATCAAATCAAGCACATGCGAACTGGACGACTCAAACGCGCAGATTTACCCCTTTGACACGCAGTACATAAAGAATGAGAAATACTATCAGTATTAGACTGACTAACCAAACAAGAAAGTAAAATGTGACGCTGCACACGCTCATGCGGATGCCCAAGGCGACTATGCCAAATGGAAGTTGAAGCACGTGCAGACAAGAAAGCAGACGGAGACGAACTGGAAATAGGCAACAGATAAAGACCACCAGAACTCTCACCCCGAAACAGAACTGCCTTGGTGACAATATCCTTCACAACAAAGAAAGTGGAGTGAAATTCAAAAAAAATATTATTATCTGTTGCAAAACGCTGAACAGACAATAAAGAGGCAGATAAACCCGGAATATGAAGAATATTAGACATAGCAAAAAATCGAGTAGTAGTAGTAAATGATGTATGACCAACACTAGAAATAGATAATGTCTTATCATCACCAACACACAGAGAATCATTACCAACATACTCCTCCGAAACTGACAAAGCAGCATCACGAGTGGCATGATTAGTAGCATCGGTGTTAGGAACCATACCTGAGACGTCTAAGGGAACACTCGAACCAGACCCATCCTGAACCGCGAGATTGGCTTGCAGTGTACTGGAATATCGCAGAAAGGAATTAATTGCAATATGGCTAAATGCATTGACTATTTGACACTTTGGCCTAGAATTGCCACGTCCCTGCCGAGGCTTGCTGCCACGCCCACGAGATGCATTGCCAGATTGCCAACTCCCACCGACTCCACCATGTGAGTGTCGGCCGCCTCCACCACGAGAATAACCACTATCGCCTCGCACACAGCCAGAACCACCACGGTAAGCCGAACCACCTCGCAGTGCCATCAACGTCGCCGGCGCTTAGCCACCAGTCAACACGTGAGACGAAAAATCCTTAGCAGTAATGAATTCATGAGCCACAAAAAAATCACCAAGCTCTTGCAAGGAGATCGACGTCCCTCAAACTAAGAGAGAAGTAGTGAGTGACCAAAGTCCTCGAAAAAGATACAAGTTCTGTTCATCCTCAGAAACCGGCCGACCAGCATGTGTTAACTCTTCCAATATTACCTAAGCACGGCCGATGTAGTCTGCAACCAAAGCATCACCTTGACGTAGAGTTTGCAGCTGCCCTTGCTCAAGAAGATGAAGCCAATGAACGCTTAAGGGAATCCCAGATATTCTTAGACGTCGTACAACCTACCACTAGATACATCATTTCTTCAAACAGCGACAAGATCAACATAGACACGATTGCCTGGTCTTGTTGAACCCATAAAGCGTAAGCCGGATTAACGGATGGAGCAGCCGGCGAGGAAGAGCCATCGGATGCGGATGGAAGAAACACCACCGGGCAAGCGGTAGAACCATCCACAAAACCCATCAAGTTCTGACCACACAGTGGATACGGAAGCTATAAGAGGTTGTATGGTGTCTGAACAGCTCCCAAGTAAAGCACTGGTAATTATCTGATCTTGGTGATACCAAGTCAAATGTGCGGGATTCGGAGTTGTTTGTGCAGTATCATTGAATTTTGCTGGCTCTTTGACAGAACCGTCGATGTATCCGAGGATATTAAAGCCAATTAGGGTGGACTGAACTCTGCGTCTCCAGACAGGAAAGTTGAGGGGGGTGAGTTTGATAGGAAAATTAGATGGAGCATTGAGGTGGACAATGTCAGTGGTGGTTGTAGCCATGGATATAAGAATGGCGAAAGAGATGAGAAAAAAAAAAAAGAACTCCATAGGGGAATATGGCTCTTGATACCATGTGAAGGAATTAACTGTGAGTCTATTGATGTAAATTACAACCTATATATAGTACATGGAGGAGTGTAAATAGTAGGAAGTTGCAACCAAATATAACTAGTCTATAGGAGCACAAATTGAACAAGTAACAACTAAAGCATTCTAGCCACATATTGGCTTAACACAAAATTGGCTTCCATTATTGTGGACTAAAAAAAAAAAGAGAAATTAAAGGGAAACCTAGACGACTGATACCAGAGTAGAACTTCTGTTTCATTAACCGTAGAATAGTTACAATAGGTAATGATAAATACACATGTACAATATATAATCATAATATAACACAAATACAGAAGTAGAGTCCTAATAAGGAGGAATAGAAAATCTTAGTGAGAGATATTGGAGAAACAAGTCAGAATGAAGAAATAAATCTATCTACTATATATATATATATACTAATAAGAGCCCAAGAGAGTTAAGCCTATAATCGATAGAAAAAATGGCGGTCATAATTTTTAATCAAATGAATGGCTCAGATTGATCAGATTTTATTTTTTCCTTAAGATTTCCTAATTTATCCTTAATGAATATGATTATCCGTTAAATATTGTATTTTCCGTTAATTTCTGTTAGTTCACCGTTAACTTACTCATTGATTTCAATAAGGAAGGTCTTAGGTTCGAACCCCATCCCAATCAAAGTTGGCATAATTAGTATTGTATTTTACTCTTATTAAATTAAATAATAATTTAGTAGCTATAACAAAAAATAATACATATGCATTTCTTTAATTTAGAATTATGTGTCTACAATGTCTTTATTCAAAAAAAATTATTCATTATCAATAAATTAAATAAGAGAAATAATTTCATTAGTTATATTGTATTTATTTTTCTCCAATATAAAAATTCTTTACATTCAAATTCATCAGTTGATTATATTCGCTACATTGTCCCTATAATGTCTTTATTAAAAAAAATTATTCATTATCAATAAATTAATTAAGAGAAATAATTTTATTAGTTCTATTGTCTTTATATTTCTCTAATTTAAAATTCTTCACATTCAAATTCATCAATTGATTATATTCACTACATTGTCTATTATCTTTTTTGTGCACTATTTTTTAATTAAATATCAAAGTTATAATACAAAATAATGCTATATACTTATTTACCAAGTATTTTACTAATACCATGAAAAATTTTAAAAAAATATAATTAATAAAGCCAATCATATTAACTACTTGAGGGATTTGTTGACAAAGAGAGTATTCAAATCACACAACAAATTGAAGTGAGAACTACCTCGCAATGTCCTTGTTTAACAATCAGCAGTTAGCGGTTAGCATTAGTGGATTATATTAGCGAATTTGACCAGTGAATTATATCAACGGTTGGTAAAAAGATATTTAAAAAAATTAGCTGTTTAGATTAATATGTAAAATGACCTAAGGGTACAATAATAATAATAATAATAATAATAATAATAATAATAATAATAATAATAATAATAATAATAATAATAATAATAATAATAATAATAATAATAATAATAATAATAATAATAAAAATAATAATAACAATAATAATAATAATAATAATAATAATAATAATAATAATAATAATTGTCTTAAAAAAATAAAAAAATATATAATTAAGCCAATCATATTAACTACTTGAGGAATTTATTGACAAAAAGAGTATTTAAATCACACAACAAATTGAAGTTGGAAACTATCGCGCTATGTCCTTGTTTGGCAATCAGCAGTTAGCTCTTCAATATTAGTATATATTTTATATTTTATGCACTAATTTTTATTTTTTCTCCCTTATGTCCCGTATTTGGTTTCAACCATACCTATACAATTATTTTATTGACAATTATAATCAATCTTGACTATATTATCTTGCATTAGTAAACTTAGAATTGTCTATTTAAATACACAAATTTAACATTCAATGATTTATGAATGAACAATTCCAATATAATCATGCCTTGATATACTTTAAAGTACTTATTAAAAAAAAAACATTGGGCATTATCCCAATCGCGCAAAGCGCGTAAAAACTTAGAATATAGAAATTCACCATACGTTGTAGTCCAACATCGTTGTTAAATCATTGTGTGAAGCTAACAAATCTCTTATTGTTTGAAGCCAAAGTTCAACAAGAAAAGGAAAACACATAACTAAATAATACTTACTCTAATAGTCTGATCTTTTGAATCAGCCCAAAGAAAAAAAGGGAGAAGTGTCAAATAGGCTCATCTACTACTACCAAGTGCTCAATTCCCACCACGAACTAAACTAAAGGCTAATTAACCACACTTACCAGCTAAATTTGATCAATTAGTTTTTTTTTTTTTTTTTTTTTTTTTTTTTTTTTTTTTTTTTTTTTTTGCAGGTTACCAATCCAATTATTAAAAAAATAATTTTAAAAATAATTAAAAAATTTAAAAATAAAAAATAAAAAATAAAAAAATCAATAAACGGAATTTCAGCCGCCACCCGCTGTCCTCACCGAACAGGGACCGGCTGAGTATTTATGATCAAATACTTTGTAGTTAGATCTGATAATGATGTAAGAACAATTTTGTTCGATAAAAAATAATAGTACAATATTTGTAAAATAATATAAAATTGTACCATTATAGAAATACATACAAAAAATATTAATACCATAATGATCTAAATCATTCCAATAATGAAAAAACATAATTAAAATATTGAGTATTGTTCAAAATATTCCAAAGAATATTAATTAAACGAAAAAAGTAAAAAAAACTTAACCTAAATTTTTTGTTGTTGTTGTTGTTGTTTTTTATTTTTTTAAATGCAAGAAAATGATTTTCAAGATTCACGATTTATCACATTTGATGCTCAACTTTGAATACCATGTATTTAGTTGGGCCAATTATTTGAGCAAAGTTTATGTTAAATTTTATATTGTATTTATAATACAATTTGACATATTCGTAGTATATGTTTAACAATTATGTCAAGTATGATTGAGATGAAGTTCGAACCTAAGACCTTTCTTATAGAAATGAATGAGTATATTAATAATAATAAATAGTTAACTGTATATTTCATTACTTAAGTTTATACTAATAGAATGCGATGTTATTTAAGGAAGAAAAATAATATAATAGAGGGTAAATAAGGAAAATCTTTAAAATAAATACTAAAATCAAATAATAAGAACCATTCATTTCAACAAACAATGACATCAATATTTTTTTGTTCCCGTTAATGACCTAACATTATTGACTCTTATTAAATTTGTAGATTTGTCGATATCAAGGGAATGATATCATAAAGAATTTTTAAATTAAAATATATAAAATTATAAAAAGCTTACAAGTTTTCATCTCATCACCTATCTCCATGCACATTCTTCAACTAACAAAATTTACCCATGCCTATAACTAAAAAAGCGATGCATATGACTAAGGACAATCAAATTTGACCTAATAGCAACAATTTTAAAAATAATAATTTTAATTAATTACAATTCAATATCTCACTTTGTGATATATTCTACTCTACTATTATACTCTACTATTAGTAAGTAGATAATAACATTAAAGGGATATTCTTTATTTTCATGCTTTTCCTTGAATTGCCCTACCTCATAAGAAATTAATCAAAGGAATAAATATGTGTTTTTTAGCTTCCAAATTTATATTCTAATGTTTAAATCCGAACATTGCTTTAAAATATTTATATTTATTATTTTTAAAAAATTTACCTAGCTACCACATGTGACAAAATGGAATACATTTAATAACCAACTATAAAAAATAAAAATAAGTAATTATACGTCAAGATGATAATATTAAGAAGTAAATTTAAAACGAGAATATCGCATGCATCACTCTTAATATAGAATTCCCTTAATCCTTAAATGGTAAAATCCAATAAAATAACCATATTAAGTCACATAATGTATATTAGGAAAAAAATTTCGTGACAGGGTGTAACATTACTGTAAAAAAATATAATCTAATCATTTGTCAAAAATTTATACAATTTTTTACAATTCAATACTTCTCCATATTTTACAAATCAATATCTCTATTTGTGATATGTTCTACTCTTTTAGTAAGTTGATAAATTTTTTTTGGTGTAAACCACAATGTGGTCCGGGTCTTTCTCTGTCCGTTTAATGGTCCAGGTCCACCCTATTCGCTCCGAGAGGCACAAAAGCTGTCCCAAAGAGAATCATCACTTGTGAGAATCAAACCCGGATTATCCCTAAATTTTCCCCCACAAAGAGAGCTCATTTACCACTGTAGCTACCCTGTTGGGTTTAGTAAGTTGATAATAACATTAAACGAATATTCTTTATTTTCATTGTTTCCATTGAATTGCCTAACCCTCATAATAAATTAATCAAAGAAATAAATATGTTTTTTTAGCTTCCAAAAATATATTCTAATGTTTAAATATACTACACATTGCATTAAAATATTTATATTTATTATTTGTCAAGAATTGACCTAGCTACCACATGTGATAAAAAAAATGAAGCTAAAATAGTAATTGCACTTCAAGATGATAATATTAAGAAGTAAATTATAAATGAGAACATTTTGCGTCACTCTTAATATAGAATATAATTCTGTTAATCATTATATAGTAAAAATCTAATAAAATAACCAATAAGTCAAATAAAGTATATTAGGAAAAAATATTCGTGACAGGTGTAACATTACTATAAAAAAAATAATTTATTCAATTTACCTCATATATGTGACCCTATAAATATCATATCATCTCAGCATGCTTAATAGCCCACACAAGATCGATAAAGAATAAAAAACCACAAATCAATCTTGAGCACTTAGCTTCTTCCTCTTTTCTCATTTCCAATCAATATCATGGCAAGAAGGAGATTAAGATTGGCATATATTGTGAATCAATCAAAAAGAAAAGCCTCCTACCAGAAAAGAAAGAGAGGGTTGGTCAAAAAGCTTAATGAGCTAACCGTTCTTTGTAGTGCGGATGCTGCCATGATAATGTATAGCTCGTTTGAGCAGGGGCCAGTGATATGGCCTACTGTTGAAAGGGTTCAAGAGCTGATTGCTAGGTTCATGCAGTTGCCGGACGTGCAACAAACGCGGCGAATGATGAGCCAGGACAACTTTGTTGCGCAATGGCTTGAAAAGTTCCGTAGATTATCTGAGTTCCGTAGATTTAAACGACCTTGGTTGGGTTTTAAACACGAATATCGCTGAAAGTGATATGAGGTTGGTAAGAGATTCCCCAACTCTGGCTCCTCCTTCAGTTGTTGCTCCAGCAGATGTGTTTTCTGGGCATAGCTATCAAGACATGGTGGGTATGCAAATTCCCAATCTTAATCCTGCGTGGAATTGGACTTTTAATCAAAATGACCCAACTCAGGGGGGACCAGGGCCCAGCACCTCCCAACAAAATCCTTAAGTCGTTTCTGCAAACTTCTCTTGTGCACTGCAATTCAAGTGTTTTTGTTTGTTATTTAATTTGATGCATTATATTGGGAATAGCCTAGCCTAATGCATCTATATGTTTTATGTTGTTTTGTTTTTTCCAATTCAATTAATAATAAAAGATGCTGTCCGGCCTATTTCTTTTATAAAAACCTGGGTATAAATTTGAGTTGCAGAAAATCCATCTCATAATACATAGAAATAAAAGATCAAAGTTCATATCCCTTTGCATTCACAAATTTGGGTTGCACAAAATCGTTCTTAAAATACATAATAAATATATCAAATCAAATTTCACATCCTTTTGCATTGATACAAATTATAATAGAAAGATAATAAATAACATATCTATTGTTCCAAGTATTAAATTAGACACAATTAATTAGAATGTCAATTTTCATGTTCCTAATGAGGATTCCCGTTCTCCATTACAACAGGATTGGGGTGGGAGGAAAATTCGAGGAATGGGGCCGGGGGTAATGAAAATACTACCCCACCTCACCTCCGATTCTTATATCAACAACAACAATATTATTATTATTATTATTATTATTATTATTATTATTATTATTATTATTATTATTATTATTATTATTATTATTTTTGTTGTTGTTTTTATTGTTATTATTATTATTATTATTATAAGGTAGCAAGAGTGCTTGTATTGTATTTACATATTGGATGTGTTGACATTTTGTAATCACATATTCACATTCTTATTTGAATTTAAATTATTTGAATATTATATTTGACATTTTTTGTTATCATTGAGAATTAATGAATATTTTTTTTTTTTTTGAAGGAAAGATCTTAATTCATTGAATCAGATGAAAGAACATCAACAAGAAAAGAAGGGGGATAGTCATACCACTCCCGGCAATCTGGCATAAAAACGGCTTCCCGTGCAATTGCATGGGCCGCACGATTCGCAGATCGCCTAGCGAAACAAAAAATTACATCGGGAATTTGAGATGCAATTTCCTTGATATCATCTAAAATAAAACCAAAGGATGAAGCAAAAGATTCAGAAGCTAGAGCATTAACAACAATCTGAGAATCAGACTCAACGTCAACGAGTCCCATATTAATTCCTTTCAGCCAACTAAGAGCTTCCCTTATACAAACTGCTTCCGCCTCCTTAACACCAATTAGACCAGCATACCGTTTTCCTTTAGCTGCAATAAGCACACCACGATCATCCCGGAGAACCCATCCCATCCCCGTAACGTTGTTTCCATCCGTACCCAGAGCGCCATCCCCGTAACGTTGTTTCCATCAGTACCCAGAGCGGCATCCGTATTGAGTTTAATAGGGCCATGCGTCGGCTTCACCCAAGTATCAACCGCAACACCATACGAAGGATTTTATTCAGGAACATCATTCGCGGACCTCCAACTATAAAGCAGGGACAGGGATGAGCGAATCACTTCTCTCGCATTGATAGGAATCCCATTCCAAAGCTTATTATTTCGGCTATACCACAACCCCAAGCAAACCGAACTGAATTTGCAGGCATCTTCATACGCTAAGGCTTGGAGGTTGTCAAAATACCAATCTGAGATGTGTACATAGTCATCCAATATAACAGATATCCCTAACAACCTCCAAATTTCTATCACCTGCTCACAAGTCGAAAATAAGTGTACTGCTGATTCATCATATCTATCACATAACTGGCAAAGGATCGTAGTAGCCACTCGTTTACTGGATAAGGCATCTCGCGTAGGGATGTAGCCTGAGGCCAATTGCCAGCAGAAATTCTTGGTTTTAGGGGGGATTGATAAACGCCATATAGAACTCCAAGACCTTGTAGCATTAAACTCCCCAGTAAGTCTACGGTAACAAGATTTGACAGTAAATTTCCCTTCGAATCGGCTAACCACATCCATGAATCGGGAGGACTTCGCAACCTGATTGGAATCTGAAGAATAAGGTCCACATCTCTCTGCTCAAATAAATTAAAATTTTGTGACAACCTCAGTCTTCCACGCAAAGGATAATACCAGGAATAGCACGAATAATCATCAACAAAAAGAACAAGATAAGGATAACTAGAATGAGATAGCAACGTAGTGGGGCACCAAATATAAGTGTATATCAAATCAAGCACATGCGAACTGGACGACTCAAACGCGCAGATTTACCCCTTTGACACGCAGTACATAAAGAATGAGAAATACTTATCAGTATTAGACTGAGTAGCCAAACAAGAAAGTAAAATGTGACGCTGCACACGCTCATGCGGATGCCCAAGGCGACTATGCCAAATGAAAGTTGAAGCACGTGCAGACAGGAAAGCAGACGAAGACGAACCGGAAATAGGCAACAGATAAAGACCACCAGAACTCTCACCCCGAAACAGAACTGCCTTGGTGACAATATCCTTCACAACAAAGAAAGTGGAGTGAAATTCAAAGAAAACATTATTAGAGGCCAAACTACAAGTTGAAAGAAATCAAATGCAAGTTCAGATTACAAGTTTGATGGATAAGATGCGTCGCAATGGCATGCTATCCACTTCTATGCCACGACCCCCAACTATTGAAGATGAGCATTCTGCTAATTAAAATGCTTAAAACTTAGGAGATGATTAGATTATGTTTATTAATATATTTGGTACTGTTTTTATTGATGTAACATTACACATTGCTATATATGTTTTTGTTTTTGTTATTGAGTTTGAATGCTTTAATATAATATATTTTGTAATTATGTTATTGAAGTATTATATTATAGGTCCAATGCTGGTATGTGATATTAATTAGTGGGTAGATTTGTTTTTAAAATTTTTAAAATTTAGCGACGGACAAATATTGTAGTAAATCTGTAGCTAAGTATCTAATAACAATAAAAAATGGCCACAAAATAGCGACGGAAAAATCCGTAGTTAAATTTAGCGACGGATATTTTCATCACTATGTTGTAGCTAAATGCCATTTAATTAAAATAATAAAAACAAATTAGTGACTATATCCATCGCTACATTTAGCGACGACGATGGCGATGGAAATTTCTGATGCTATATTTCGTCGCTATTACTTTGCAAATTTCATCACTAGATCGTTGTTGTAGGAAAATAGCAATAGATATTTTGTTGGTAGAGCGACGGAATTTCCTTTGCTAGATTTAACGACAGAATATTCCGCCGTTAGTTCCTCACAAATTTCGTTTTCTAATCCGTTGGCGGAAGAAATTTAGCGACAGATTATTTTCGCTTAGTGACAAAATATTTCATCACTAACTGTAGCGACGGAAATAAATTGTGTTGCTAGATTTTAGCGATGCACATTTTTGTGACGAATGAGTTCCGTCGCTAAACACTTTAGCGACGCATTTTCCCTATTTAGCGACGGAATCTGTCCTTTGCTATTTCCGCATTTTTTTTGTAGTGAAATTCTAAAACTTCATACTCCATAATCTCATTGCGTGACGCTGCCCTTTATGCTACTACCAATAACCCAATTGCACATGACACTGCCAGTAAAAAAAAAAAAAGAAAAAAAAAAGAGGACAAGTACTGAAGATAAGACAATGACAATGCTACCAAAAAGAGAATTAAGAATACTTAGAGAAATTCAAACCAAAAGTAGTATTTATTTAGACTATCACTTTTAGACTAAATATTTAGACTATCGTTATTACAAAGTTGTAAATATTTAGTTTAGTATTCATATACTTTGAATAACTGACTTAAATATAAACAAATTCAACATTCACTTACCTATGCATAAACATCTCCTATATAATTATGCATTGATATATTTTGAAGTACTTATTTAAAAATAATTATTGGGCATTATCGCATTCACGTAATGCTCAAGAAAAACTAGTAGTACTATATATTAGGAGAAAAATTATTTAATTTAACTTGCATTTTATTCATAGAAACACGATTAATGCAAAAGAACACATTGAAACTCAAGTTTACATGTTTAATGACTTGCATATGTAATAAAAATTAAACATTCCATCTAATTTGGGAATTTCTTTAAAAAAATTAAATAATTAATTCTTTTAAAGACATGCCCAAATCCAAAATAGAATTAATTTATTTGAAAGACATTAGGAAATTAATCATTCGTTTTTAAGGTATTGTTGCAGGATGTTCAAGCTGGGGCTGAAAACCATCTTCAACCATGCTGCTTCCTGAGCCTGTTTGTCACCTTCGATTTGGAACACGACGGTGGGATCGATGCAGTGAATGGGCCATCCCAGCTCGTCCGTCAGCCGCTGGATTTTGCCTACTTGACGGCGGATTTAGCCTATGGTGTTGGTCTTGATTTCAGCAATGGCGGATTCAAGCAGCGCCTTCTTCTCAGCCTCGGACATGTCTTTGCTGGCTTCAGCTCTCAGATACTTGTCCATTTCAGGAACTCCGATGGCTTTTCGAATACCCTTTGTGTAATCTTTGTCGGGAGCAAAGATTCCTCGTACCTCATCAACCAGACCTACATGCATATAATTAGTACACCAAACAAAAATTATGCATGAATCTATGTCGCATGATCTCTTTTATAGTGTCATATATGAAAATAGACCAGTTAGCCAAATTAGTCTGACCAGTTATATAAGTTCGTTTTTACGATTCTACCTAAAAATGAATTTATAAGTTACCTTGATTAACCATTTGGTCAACTCGTTTGGACACAAAAGTGTTCAAAACATTTGGAGAAACATCCAGCCAAATGAAGCAGCCGTGGTAGTTGGACTTGAACTTGAAGTCAGGGTCCTCCACCAGGGCTTCAATGAAAGAATTTGACCCTCCCACGACGATCGGAACCTTGCCGGAGTTGATGATTCGCTCAATCACCGACGTGGCCTGGAAGCAAAAGTGGCGGGCAGTGTATTCTTCATCGGGGTTCCCAACATGCCCAAGCAAATGATGAGGCACGCCAAGCTTCTCGACCTCAGGAATCTTGTTACCCAGAACATCAAGCCCTCTGTAAACCTGAATCTTGTGGGAGTTGATTATCTCTCCTCCAATGTGGGCGGCTAGGCTGACAGATAGCTTCGATTTTCCCGATCCGGTGGCTCCCATGATGAACACCACCACCTTCTTGTTCATAGCCATCCTCAGTCAATTGATTGCCTGTTTGATCTGTTCATAGCAAATGATACATACACACACATTAAAACTTAAAACTGATTACAAATTTCTACATGATATGTAAATACAATAATCAAAGTTCAATATGATCTATGTAAAGTGTATGCATGCATATACGATAGATCTATGTAAAGTATATAATATGGTCTGAGAAAATATTACTGATATTGAAAGTGTGTGAAAACGAGAGTGATATGAAAATGGGGGTATGGCTGAGGGTATATATATTTCTATAGGAGTGACGAGTATGGCAAGTGAATATTAATAGATATGCGAATTTAGTAAAAAATTAACTTATTTTTTTTTCTAATTTTATTAATTCAATTTAGTATGCTAATTTGTTAAATTATTAAATGATTTATTGAGAAAATGTATTAGTCAACTTTTTATTTAATTTAAAATTAGTATAATATTTATATATATTCCAAAAATATAGATACATTTGATCATCTGTACAAACTGGGACGAACCCAAAATTTTATTTAGGACAAAAAAGATTTTAACTAATTAAGGAGCTTTACTGAAGAGAGTCAATGGAACATCTAGCCACTCCCCGCAACCTGACTCAGAAACGGCCTCCCTAGCAACAATGTGGGCTGCACGATTCACAGATCGTTTGACAAAACTAAAATTAACATCCAACAAAGATGATGCCAATTCTTTTAAATCTCCTACAATCAAACCGAAAGCAGAGTCAAAGGAAGAACCAGAAAGAGCATTAAACAGGAGCTGCAAATCTGTTTCCACATCCACCCCTCCCATCCCTGTATTTTTGAACCAACTCAACGCCTCCCGCATACTCATAGCTTCGGCCACTTTCGCATCGTAAATCCCGGGCACGGACATACTCTTCGCTGCTAGGAATAAACGATTATCATCCCTAACAACCCAGCCATAGCCCATGGTGTTACTTGTATGATTTATAGCGGCGTCTGTATTCAATTTTAACTGCCCAGCTTGCGGCTTGTTCCAGCGTTCAACCTGGCATGGTGGTACAGCAGGTAAGATGGTACTCTCATTACCTGCCAACCAGTCATCCAAGAAAAGTAGAGCATGATGCACCATAAGCATTAAATCAAAAGCAGCCCCTCTCCAAACACAGGCGTTCCTACTACACCAAATCCCCCAGCATACCATTATAAATTTGGGAATCAAATCAGCACGTAACATAGAAAGACAGCCAAAGAACCACTCATGCACTACATTACCCGGCACATATGTAATAGGTAAGCCAACCGCATGGTAAGCTCGCATAGCTTCTGGACAAGTCGCAAAGATATGTAAAGCTGACTCCTCCTCCTCCTTCCTGCACATGTGGCACAACAAATTACAATCAACATGTTTCCTCCTAAGAGCATCCCGGGTTGGTAAATAAGATGATGCCAACTGCCAAGTGAAGGCTTTGACCTTTAGTGGTACATTGGCATTCCAAAGTACATTCCAAGGTCTATCATCATGTAGTAAACTCGCTTGACGACGGTAGCTCAATTTTACAGTGTAAGCCCCTTTACTATCCCAAGGTCCACCTCTAGCTAATCCAACAAGACAGCGTGGTCCGCGTACTCAATCATTGGAGCGGGCTCACGTCATGCGGCTTCGTCACATGACACGAGGAACTGATGAGCAGTTTCATGCTCTCACGGCATCGGTTGATCCCACATGCTAATCCCAGGCAATGGGCGATCCTCAGTGGCGTGATGCCATGGACCAAGAGTTCAATGCCCTACTGCACAATATCACCTGGCGCCTCACCTCACCCAAACCGGGCATGAATATAATTGGCTTCAAGTGGGTGTACCGCACCAAACGTAAGACAGATGGGTCAGTTGAGCACTATAAAGCGCGCTTGGTGGCCAAAGGGTTCAACCAAGTAGCTAGAGAAGATTTCTTTGACACCTTTAATCCTGTAATCAAACCCACTATAATACACCTGTTGTTTTCTTTTGCAGTTTCCGGGGGATGAACTCTACGGCAATTGGATGTCCACAATGTCTTCCGTAATGGGCACTAGGCAGAAACCGTGTACATGTGACAGGCCCCCAGCTATGAGGACCCAGCACATCCTGACCATGTATGTCATCTCTCCAGCGGTCCTTATATGGCCTGAAGCAAGCACCTCTGGCCTGATTCAAACATCTACACCATTTTTTTACTGACTACAGGGTTTTCGACATCCAAAACCGACGTATCACTTTTTCAGTACTCAGATCGCACCTCCAGGGTCTTCCTGCTTGTATACGTACATGCCATCATCATGATGGGTAATGATTCAGGCCTACTTGACTCGATCCTACTCCATCTCTCATCTGCCTTCAAGATAAGGGACTTAGGCACGCCCAATTTCTTTCTTAGCATTGAAACTCTACTTGTGGAGGGCGGCTTGCTTCTCTCTCAGCATCGTTATATGGAAGATGTTTTAAACATGGCTGGTATGTCTGATTGCAAGTCGCTAGCCACTCCAGCGGCTCTAATGCAAGCCACGTCTCCTTCAATTGAGCCCTTCGAGAATCCTACTCAATATCGCCGACTAGCCGGTGCAGTACTGTATCTGACCATAACCCGACCAGATCTCTCTTATGCAGTTATTTAACACCCCCGATTTTACCAAAATTTAAAAGTTTAAACAAGAGACATAAAACTAAACATTAATCATTAAACAACGGAAGTAACGTCTAAACACGGAGGTGTTATGCCACACCTATATCAAACATAGGTGCACAGACAAACTACTAAACAAACCACAGCAGCTAACGGTTAAACTAACTAGGCTCACAGGCCATAAACAACTAGAAAAGCATAAGGAGCTACACTAGGCTACTACGGTCAACTAGCGCGCTTTCCAAAGCTACTCAAAACCTGTAAAGAGATAGGGATAACACCCGTCAGCGAAAGATGCTGGTAACCTACCAATACGCGTTAAGTAACATAATATATAGATATAAGCAAAACCATTTGAGTCTGGGGAATACAGTATAATCATTTTAAAACCAAGAGAGGGAACATCAATACACTCATCAACAATCTCAACAAAGACCAAAGACAACCATACTCAGCAAATCAACAAGGACAACAAGCAACATACTCAACACTAGATGCAACATACCAAACTCAAGGTAGAGTTCATCATAGACATGCTCGTAAGCCATAAGGCGAGATTCATACTCACAACATGTTCCAAGCCCACATAGGACATAGTCAAACCGAAGCATTCATCATAGAGTCATCTCAACGACCCGAATCATAGCGGACCAGTGTGGAGGACTCCAACTCATCAATCACATACCACAGAGTCATTGCAATGACTAGGACCACAGTCCAATGGAAACATATCTAGCAACTTTAAGTGTATACACCCCCTATTGAGATTCCAAGCCCAACGGGTTAGCTACTATTTTTGGCAACTGGAATGAGTTTCCCAAGTTGCCCACAAATCATAAGTATCCAAACGGCAATCCGGAGCTTTAAACCCACTACTGGATCAGTTCACCCATAAGTCCCCACACTGTCCACTTTACCAACTCAATCATCTCATCACATCCATTCCAACATCTCAATAAGAGGCAATACACACAGAATCTAAAGATACAACAAAGCATAGATTCCACAGAAAGTGTGTACAACAACGGATAAGCTCAATCAATAGCTTATCTACGGAATAATCAATGCAGTACGACATTGGTACAAGATCACATCAAGGAATCCAATCAACAGGTTTCAATGAATGACATGAAATGATGCTCAACAACAACCATGGACTTCAATCCACTAACGACATGATTGGCAACACGAGTTGCCAATCCTCAATAGGAAGGACAAACAACAATTACTAGCATCAACGACATCATATCTAGCATACTCATCAAACGGGTAAACCAAAATGGTTCTAACGAACCTCAAAGACTCACATTAATTCAACAAATCACAAGGTTGGACCATAAGCACGATTCAAGACACCAAATCCTTACATGGATACTTAGGACATCGTTCTAGACATACGAAACATCAAGGAGACACACAAAAGCTCAACAATCCAACAAAGGAGGTCAAGACATCACATACCAAAAGATGGAACCACGGGAAAAACAACACCCAACATTCCACCGGGAGTGTACCCTGCGGGTGGAACCATGGGTAGGTCCCTACCCGTGGTACCTCCCGCGGGTGGGGCGGCGGGTGGACATCCGCCCGTGGGGAACACCTGTGCAACAATTAATTCCCTTCGAGAAAATTCATCTCCAAGGTCAAGTTCAGGTCCAAAACACCCCAAATCTCACATACAACAAGGAAATGACTTGAACCCAAGAATAGATCAAAGAACAACATTCAAGAAACCTAGATACATGCTCTAAACATGCATTATCACAAGATCATGCATCAAATCACTCACAATCATCAAGAATCATCAATAGCAAGTAGCAAATAGGTTTTGTATAGCATGGGTTTCCTTTGAAGACCAAAAACTTCTTTCCTCTAACCCTCCTAGGCCCTACTTTGAAGCTCTTCTTCCTCACATGCTTCTTACACAAGCCAAACCACAAGAAAACACCAATCTTACATAAAGACACCTTAAAGCTAACTAAAAACACTAAATAACTTTAGATCTTACCCTTTCCTAAGCTTGGGAGATGGAAAGGTGGAGTCTTGGGATGATTCTTTGCATGCTAGGATGGGGTGTTCTTCTTTTAGCTTGGAGGATAAGCTAACTTTTCTTAGAGAGAAGGTAGAGAGTTTAGGATATTGGCTAGCAAGAGGATGAATGAAATGTGTCTTGCTAGGGCAAGCTTGAACGCCAATCATGTGTGAAAGGACATGTTTACCCTTACTAAAAGGCTAGGAAGACAAAAGGCTAGGTACAAAGCACAAAGCGAAAGGTACTCATGGTTGACTAAAGAATTAGACAACTTCTAGTCCCTTGAATATTAAATTTCAAGATTTTGGGAAGGAATTCACCAAGGTATTTTAGGATTAATTCCTCAATTAATACTACTTAAGGAGTCGGATTTTCGGGGTGTCACAAGTTAACCGGTTATGTCAGTTTATGCATGCTCCGACCGATGAACACTAGGGTCTCCTAAAGCATGTCTTACGCTATGTGAAGGGCACACTCACATACAGTCTACGCATAACTACGTCACCGTCTTCTGATATCCTTGCCTTTTCTGACTCAGACTGGGTTGGTTGTCCGATTGATCGGAAGTCGACTAGTGGGTTTGCTGTATTTCTTGGCTCGAACTTGATCTCCTTGGTGTCTCGCAAACATCGGACAGTTGCTCGTTCTTCTACCGAGGTAGAATACAAGGGCCTAGCTTACGTTGCGGCTGAGGTTACGTGGGTTGTTTCGCTACTCCATGAGCTTGACCTCCACTCTGGTACGCCAGCCACTTTATGGTGCGACAATCTCGATGCAACCTACCTGTGTGCCAATCCAGTTTTCTAAGCAATGACCAAACATGTAGACTTCTTGGTCAACTTTGTCTCTACGAAGGATCAGTTGGCTGACATCTCCACAAAAACCAATGCCGGCAGCTCGGTTTGGTTCTCTGAGGGACAAGCTCAATGGTGTGTCACACCCACCTTGTGTTTGAGGGGGTGTATTAGTGATATTATATTTGTATAAGTGATGTCATATTTGTATGGTTGTAATTGACTTAGACTTAACTACTAGCCTAATGTATAGGATAAGTTAGGAAAAAATTTTATTCCTTTCGTATCTCTGTATTTCCATCTATGAATTGAATACACAAAATTATCCCCTCATTTACCTAACACTCATAGCAAATTAATCAAAGAAATAAATATGTTTTTTTTAGCTTCCAAATATATATTATAATGTTTAAATCCACTACACATTGCATTAAAATATTTATATTTATTATTTGTCAAGAATTGACCTAGCTACCACATGTGATAAAAAAAATGAAACTAAAAAAGTAATTGCACGTCAAGATGATAATATTAAGAAGTAAATTTAAAAGGAGAACATTTTGTATCACTCTTAATATAGAATATAATTCTCTTAATCATTAAATAGTAAAAATCAAATAAAATAACCATAATAAGTATTTTCAAAAACAAAAAACCATAATAAGTCATATAACGTAGGAATAAGGTTCAAATTGGCCACTGAACGTAACATGAATATGTAATTAGGTCACTGAACAAAAAAAAAGTGCAATTAGGCCACTGAACAATCCAAATGTATGCAATTTCACCTGATAGCAGGTTACCATCAATTTTAGCAGGTTACCTGCTTACGTGGCAACTGAGTTGGCATTTTTAATAATTTTTAACAAATTTTTAATTTTTTTTTTAAA